ATTCTGCAGTCTAGTACATTTCTTAACTGCATTTAGTTTACTTTTCAGGATTCCTCACACTATGGTGACATAGATAGATATACACTTTTAAACTTTTGAGAATTATATGATTTGGTTATAAATTGCCCTGGACAAAAGATGGACAAGTAATGTACTGATACACAGTTATATCAAAGTTGTAGTCTTAAATGCTAATAGCCTCCCTGTCCTTCTGTGATGACAATATTGGGCAACCCACTGGAAATAATGTATACTTATAGCTTCAGAGAAACTTGGATGATTTTTGTCAGAATTTGTTCATAGTTGGCTCTTTTCTTAAATGAATGCAATTTCAATCCTGGTCACAAAGCCAGAGAGGACAACTCTCATTTAGAACTTCCTATTAATGTTCAAATATGTTCAGACTACATTATATATCCTGTACATTTAAATGCCACACAAAATAAAAATCTGCATGTAGCTTAATAAGAACAATAGACCAGCATTCATAAGTGAGTGCTCACAGTGTACCAGGCACAAGTCCAAGTACTTTGCACACACTTTCTCTTCTATTCCTCACCCTTCCATGTGATAGGTGCTTCGAGAGGTGAAGTTACTTTCCCCAAGTCAACAGTTAAAAAGTGATGGAGCTGGTATATAAACCAGACAGTCTGGTTCCAGCACGTGCAATCTGACCACTATCTTCTCTACTGCATTCATCTTTATACCTCATGGTTATCAATACCGATGAAGTGGAACATCAGTAAAGATAGTATGAAATACTTGACAGCACTCACAGGGCTTTCTTATATTAATGCCTGTAGCCTAGAGATAATTATTTTTCTAATCCACATGTCATAGGTTTTTAAGTTATACCGCCAAAATATCAACACAATGAAATTTTAGGTAGAAGTTGAAATGACCCAACAGTATTTGGCAGTGTAATTCTTACCATGAGCAGATCTAGATCCCCTGAGAATTACATAGAACCATAATTGAATCCAGGGATCTTTTTGAACCCAGATGTCTGGATTCTTGCCCACATGAAACATTTCTTTTTGCACTTTGTCATCATCATGCACAAGCATTTTGCTGAACTAACTTAAAGTAAGTAATATATGGAAGACTATATAATGCAAATCCATATAGAAATGCCTATCCTCCCTATTCCCACACTCCAAAAATAGAGAACTTACCTATCCAAACAAGAAACTTCAGAGTGATGAGAATTGGAAATGTCTGTGGTTCTCAAGCTTGCCCACATAGGCCCCAGCCAGAAGTTACCTGGAGAGATCCTATATATCCTGTGGTATCTGTTCTACTTTAACCCAAAATAGGCAATAGCCTTGTACTTATCTTTCATAAATAATAGAAATGTACATTGATTATTTTTACTTTGAACCACAGACTTAAGGTTCACAAGCCTTGATTGTATTTTGTTTTAAATAATTTAGATTTTTTAAAATTTTCTTAAAACTTACTAGAAGAATGTTTTTTTGATCTGTAGGGTTAGTTTTTCTTAGTTATCCCTGTTGATTCATCTTCAATTAGTAGGCATTCAAAATGGTCTAGGGTACTACGTAATGTCCTGCCTCTACGATGTATATATTTGATTATTTAATTATATGTAGTTTTTAAGTTGCTTAGCTATTTCTCTCCCTTGCTTTCTGCCTAACTTTAGAGTAACCAAATAAGGCAAATGGAAGAAGTAAAGATTTCAAAGAAAAGTAAAGTTGGAATTCTTCCATTTGTTGCTGAATTTGAAGAATTTGCTGGACTCGCAGAATCAATCTTTAAAAATGCTGAGCGTCGTGGAGACCTAGATAAAGCATACACCAAACTTATCAGAGGCGTGTTTGTTAATGGTAAGCTTTTGTAATATTCTAAAGAATTTTTGTGGTTGTTGTTTTCATTATTTTTGGTAACTCAG